CGGACTAGACTGCTGGCTCATTCCGAGAGCCATGTTAACCTCAGGCAGAACCTATACCAACATCTATTTCCGGAATAACCTCTTCCCTGTGTCTAGCATCTTTCTTCTTAAAAGTGGTACAAATTCCAGAAAGTGCATTTATAGCCTTTGTGTTGAGGTACAGGACTAACACCTTCATCACGGTCTATCCATCAGATTTTAGTGAATAAACATCTATGCTTCATGATTGTTTTTCTTAAATTATACGATTCAAAAATCATTCATCACATACCTGCACAATATTGGAGACTGGAAATACACAGATGAATGAGACAAGCCCTCCAACCCTCGCAAAGGTGGTCTAAGGATGGGCTTGAGAATGTAGACTTCTCCGTTCGAATCCTCGTTCTGCTATGTCCTAATTCTGCATGATCTTGCAGGAGTGCACTGTTTGTCCAGGTGTGGAATAGCATAGCAGTCATATTACCTACCTACAGGGCTGCTGAAGACTACTGCACATAAAATGCTTAGCAGAGTCCTGGCTTATTACTCTCTGTTCACTGCTCAATATGGTAGCTATTAATATTGAGGCATTCACACTCTCATAGGGACGCAGATCGTCACATACATGCTAAATATAGTACAGCAAAGCCCTCTTATGGAGCTCTGAACAAAATGGGATAGCACTCCTGATGAGAAAGAGAACCATGAATTCATTTATAATCTGTTTTGCTGAGTTTCTTTGAAGTGGTAAACATGGCTGACTGGGAGTTGACATCTAAGCTGGACCTTGAAGACTGAATTCTCCAATGGGTAAAATGTGGAAAGCGTGTCCAGTGAGCTAGAGCAGGAGCAGATGCATGGTGGTGTGCGAGTGGGTGACATGTCCAGGGACCAGTAAGTGGTGTGGAAAGAACACAGAAGGTGGCTTCCAGAAGGTCAGGTCAGCACCAGGGTCCAACTATCATGGCAGTACTAGAGAGCAAAGTGACCAAATCTATGTTTTACAGAAATAACTCGGCTACTTCCTGGAGATGAAATACATGAAAGAGAGACTGAAAGCAGGGCGCCTGTTATGAAGTGGTCATAACAGCCTGAACTGGGACAGTGGCAGTGAGAATGAAGAGGTGAGGACAGAACTGAGAGGGACTTGAACGGAGATGAGAAAGCACTTAGTGACCAACTGGATGTGGGGGGCAGAGGAGTGATTCAGGGATGGCTTCGTATTCTACCATGAAATATGAAAAACAGGAAGAGAAGCAACGTTGGAGAGAAAGATAATGAGTTCGGTGCTATAAATATAAAGTTTGGGGTCTCTTCAGGAAGAATATCCAAGTCTGCAGTTTAGAATAAAATTCCGGAGCCTAGGACAGACCCATCAAGGAGGACAGGAAGAAAGGAAAGCAGAGAAAGAGGAAGTGACACTTAAAAAAATATTCATGCATATCTACACAGTCTAGTTGGTTCTGGGAGAGAGACGCAGACCTGGACAGATAACTCTCCAAAATAACCCCTCTACATCAGCAAACTGTTTCATTCACTGGACCTTAATATGCCTTGTGTGTTCCCTCTGCACGTTTTCTTTCCACCATTCAACATATACTGATGAAGCACTTCTTATGTGTCTGGTATTAGTCTAGATTTTGGTGACATATGAGTAAAAATGTCAAAACCCTGCCATTGGGGAGTTTATGTTTTAGTACAGGAGATAGTCAATAAGCAAGTGACCAAAGAGTAACCTATAATTTCAAGTAAATAGAGTAAGGAAAAATAAAGCAAGTAAGAATTTAGAAAGTTATCAAGGGGGGAAGGAAGGGGAACTCTTTGAAATCAGGTGGCTGTGGTCTGGGAAGTTATCCCTGATGAAGAGACATTTTATTTTATTTTTATTTTTTAAATTGTATTTATTTTTGAAAAAGAGAGAGAGAGGGGCAGGGCGCAAGCAGAGAGGGGCAGAGAGAGAGGGGGGACACAGAATCTGAAGCAGGCTCCAGGGTCTGGGCTGTCAGCACAGAGCCCACTGTAGGACTTGAACTCCTGGGCAACGAGATCATGACCTGACCTGAAGCTGGACGCTTAACCGACTCAGCCACCCAGGCATCCCTCATTTATTTATCTATAATTGTAATTAGTGGTAACTTCTAGACCTGCCTTGCCCCACTCTCCACCACTTCTGGACGAATTCCAGAAGCTGCTAACCATCTGGCAAGCCATCGGCGCGCTACTTACTGGTCACAACCAGTAAGAAACGCAAGCTATGTCCATTTCAGAGCCATAGAGAAAGCCCAAACCAAGATTTATCCTTGGTGTTAGCAAACCTGATGGTTTTATTTAGGCTCGACTCTTGAAGACGTGAAATATGAGGAAAATCTGCACATGCTCAGAGAAGCTGTTGGCTTTGCCACACTTCTATGCTTAAGTATTGTAATAATATTATTATTATCCCACAGGGGTGTCATGAGGATTAATGAGACATTTTCAAATCACTTTGAGCTACTCCACTGGGGGTAGTAAATAAGTGGTATGTGTTCCTCCTGAAGTGCCATTTTTGACACTGATTTGTTGTGATGGGTTCTGCTGTCCAACAGGGCTGGAATTCGCCCACCGACTCATTTCATATAAACAATAGACTAGCTGTCAGAAGGCAGTGGTTTTCAGTTCAAATAAATATGAATTGAAGTGAACTAGTCAGCAATCAGAAGCAAATAGGCTGCTGTTAGAAATCTAATATTTATTAAGCACTCGCAGTGATCAACTCAAGGATTTCACAGTGTGATACAGTAGAGCAAACACTGGATTGGGAAATGGCCCAAGATGTTAGGCCCAGCGCTGCTGCTAACTAGCTGTGTGGGCTTGAACAAACTGCCTAACTTCTCTGGGCCTCAAATCCACAAAAGGAATGGAAAGAGTCATTTCTGAAGGAAAGATACTTCACAGCAGGGAGAAGCTTGTGACCATCCGTCACAGGCCCATCCTCTGTTCTGGTCTCCCTTGCCATTGATTAATATTAATTTCAGTACTAATTCCTGCAAATGGAGAAATAAATCACTTTCTAGGTCAGACACAGAAGTGCACGAAACATTTGGTCTTTAAAAATAGGGTCTTTGCCTTTCTACGAGCCAACCTTGCCGCACGCCTACTGTCTTATTCTTAGCTTTAAATATACGAACCCTAATCACCAGCTCAAAAAGAACAGTGTAGTTTTGTGAGACTGTTTTAGATGGTTGTCTCCTTTTACCATCTTACGACATATGTCACCGTCTGCGGTGCCTACTACTGACCTCGAGGTGACGTGAAAGATAAAAGGACAGTAAAGAACGTGAATGCTTGCTATACCCAGAAAAGGCAGAGGGGGATCTGCCCTGTGGATTAACCGAGTAAAGTACACACCGTGGACTGTTTCTCCTCCCTCTTCATCCCAGGAATCCCCGGGGACCTGCGTTCAGAAAGGAGAAACGTTGATTGTCCAGAGACAACAGAAATACACAGAATTACCTGTTGGGGAACTCAACAAAGATACGGAGTTCCTACTATTTATCAGGCACTTTGGTGGCTGCTAGGGATACGAATTGGGTAAGACTTCTCTCTGCCCTTAATGAGCCTCGGCTGCAGGTCGTGGTGGGAAGTAATGACCACAAATCGCAGTTACTTGTGGTTGAATTGTCAGCTAAGGTAGATGGGTGACTGTGTAGTGCCAAGAGTTCCCTTTTGTAAATGATTTGAACGATACAGTAGAAAATGCATTCTAAAGCCTAGGGTTGACTCTAAGGTGGAGTTGCTAATATGCCTAGAAACAGAAATTGTGTCTGAAATGAACACAGTTTGAAGAAATGGTTTAGGCTCAAAGGGGATAAAGCTGTTATCCCCAGGCCAAAATCAAGCAACAGAGGTACAAATTGCTGGCTGAACGTTGTCCCAGTTTAACAGCTACAGCGTGGCAAACCCGAACACGATTATTACGTTGAGGGTCTAGGTGCCAGTCTGGCTCCAGTCCTTCCCCACGACAGACTTCGGACGAGATGTGAATTTCTCATCTCATTTTCTTCTCATGTGCCCACCGACAGGAAGCCTCTCTCTTCTGAAAAGATCGGGCTGCCCTCGCCAATCGCAACCAGGAACTTGGTCCTTGATTCTTCCCAGCAGCTGAAAACTCAGCTATTAACATTAGTGAGAACTAGTCTCTCGCTACAAAGCAAAGTCCCGGAATGCCTTTAATGACTCATTTTCTTCAGACTCCGGGTGGGAAACTCATCAGCTACCCATTATTACTCCATTGGGCTTCTCATGCCCACGGCAGCTAAACGGTTCAGAGCGCTTCAGGCCTGGCGGTCTTCTAGCCTCCGTGGGCTCAGGGTGTCGGCAGCAGACTGGCCTCTTCCCCCAGGGTGCCCTCCGGGCCTGCCACTCCCTCGCTCCACCGGGCTCCAGGCCCGGAGCACATCCCCATCCTCCCTCCCCGCCCGCGCGGCCCCACGGAGCCCTCCTCCCCGGGCTGCCCCAGCCGCGCGTTCAGGGCGTGGAGGCCGCCGCTAGCGGGGCGGCGGAGTGGTCCAGGCCCGCCGAGAAGCCTCTCGGGCCGGGAGAGAGGGGGAAACTGACCAGAGGCCGCCCGGGCCCGGGGGCCCGATTCCCCGAGGGCCGCCTGGGCCGGGCGGGGACTCTAGGGCACGCGGAGGCTAAAGCGAAGGCCTCGGGCTGCCAAGAGGGGTGAGGCGGCTGGCTGAGGCGGCGGGCTGAGGGGGGCCGGGTCTGCAGCGCTGGGGAGCGGGGCGCGCGCCCGCGCGGTGGGCGGGCATCCTGAGGGGCCGCGGAGGGGCGGGCGCGCGCCTCGCGGGGGAGGGGCCGCGGAGGGGCGGGGGGAGCGCGGGGGCGGGGGAGGAGGAGGCGTCTCCCCGGAGAAGCCGGGCCGACAGCGCCAGACCCACACCGAGCCTCGCGGCGGCGGCGGCGGCGACAGCAGCGGCGGCAGCGGCAGCGGCAGCAGCAACAGGCGGCGGGCCGGGTTCGGGGGCGGAGGCGGCGGAGGGGCGGGGAGCGCGAGGAGGAGCGACGCGGCCCGCGCCGCCGCCTCTTCCCGCCGCATGGACGAGCACCTCAGCCTGCTGCGCTCACCGCCGTCGCCCTCCGCCCGCCACCGCGCCCACCCGCCCCAGAGCCCCGCGAGCGGCGGCGGCGCCCACACCTTGGTGAACCCCGGCTACGCCGAGCCCGCCGCAGGCCCCGCGCTGCCGCCCGACATGACGGTGGTGTCCGGGGACCACCTGCTGGAGCCGGAGGCGGCCGACGGCGGCGGGGGCCCGCCGCAGGGCGGCTGCGGCGGCGGCGGCGGCTGCGACCGCGACCGCGACCGCTACGAGCCGCTGCCGCCCGCGCTGCCGGCCGCCGGCGAGCAGGACTGCTGCGGGGAGCGCGTGGTGATCAACATCTCCGGGCTGCGCTTCGAGACGCAGCTCAAGACCCTCTGCCAGTTCCCGAAGACGCTGCTGGGCGACCCCAAGCGGCGCATGAGGTACTTCGACCCGCTCCGCAACGAGTACTTCTTCGACCGCAACCGGCCCAGCTTCGACGCCATCCTCTACTACTACCAGTCGGGCGGCCGCATTCGCCGGCCGGTCAACGTGCCCATCGACATCTTCTCCGAGGAGATCCGCTTCTACCAGCTGGGCGAGGAGGCCATGGAGAAGTTCCGCGAGGACGAGGGCTTCCTGCGGGAGGAGGAGCGGCCCCTGCCCCGCCACGACTTCCAGCGCCAGGTGTGGCTGCTCTTCGAGTACCCGGAGAGCTCCGGGCCGGCGCGGGGCATCGCCATCGTGTCCGTGCTCGTCATCCTCATCTCCATTGTCATCTTCTGCCTGGAGACGCTGCCCGAGTTCCGCGACGAGAAGGACTACCCCGCCGCATCGTCGCAGGAGCAGTTCGAGGCGGCCAGCAACAGCACGTCGGGGGCCCCCGCCGGGGCCTCCAGCTTCTCGGATCCCTTCTTCGTGGTGGAGACCCTGTGCATCATCTGGTTCTCCTTTGAGCTGCTGGTGCGGTTCTTCGCTTGCCCCAGCAAAGCCACCTTCTCGCGAAACATCATGAACCTGATAGACATCGTGGCCATCATCCCTTATTTCATCACTCTGGGCACCGAGCTGGCGGAGCGACAGGGCAATGGACAGCAGGCCATGTCCCTGGCCATCCTGAGGGTCATCCGGCTGGTGCGCGTCTTCCGCATCTTCAAGCTCTCCCGGCACTCCAAGGGGCTGCAGATCCTGGGCCAGACGCTGAAGGCTTCCATGCGGGAGCTGGGCTTGCTCATCTTCTTCCTCTTCATCGGAGTCATCCTCTTCTCCAGCGCCGTCTACTTTGCCGAGGCAGACGACCCCACTTCAGGGTTTAGCAGTATCCCGGATGCCTTCTGGTGGGCAGTGGTCACCATGACAACAGTGGGTTACGGGGACATGCACCCGGTGACCATAGGGGGCAAGATCGTGGGGTCGCTCTGTGCCATCGCTGGTGTCTTGACCATTGCTTTGCCGGTCCCTGTGATTGTTTCCAACTTCAATTACTTCTACCACCGGGAGACAGAAGGGGAAGAGCAAGCCCAGTACATGCACGTGGGAAGTTGCCAGCCCCTCTCGCCTTCCGCCGAGGAGCTCCGAAAAGCAAGGAGTAACTCGACTCTGAGTAAGTCGGAGTATATGGTGATCGAAGAGGGGGGCATGAACCATAGCGCTTTCCCCCAGACCCCTTTCAAAACGGGCAACTCCACGGCCACCTGCACCACGAACAATAATCCCAACTCCTGTGTCAACATCAAAAAGATATTTACTGACGTTTAATATATGATACAAGTGACACGCTGTGCTCAGTATTGTGTGGAACGTGCCCCCTTGGTCTGTGTATGCCCTTGTTTTATACATTCCCAGACCATTCATCAAGGAAAGGACATGAAGAAGTGGAAAGCACACTTCATTTTCCCTCTCCCTACTGCTTCATACTGAAACAGATGTCTCTTTCACAAGTGGGCTGCATTCTCTCAGCTCTCCATTGTTTTCTCCCCTCTCTCTTATATTGCAAAGAACAAACTTCCTTTAAACTTGATTTCTAGTACACCCCTTCTCAAAAACAAACAAACAAAAAAAGCAGCTGTACTTCTGGGGAGGAAACGAAATTAAAGAACAGTTAAGAGTAACCGCTTAACCTCAGAATTAAAAGACACTCGTTTCTTTACTAAGTAACGCCGGTGTGTACTTAAAGGATGCTTCAGTTTGGTGGACTGTTTAACATTATTGAATACTTAGTTCAGTTGCCCTCGCTGTGGATATGTGGATGAGAAGTCTAAATAGAAAAATGACTTGTAAACCCACCGTCAGTTTATTTGGTTTTTGACCGGAATTTCCATTCGGAACCCCTCCAGGAATTTTAAAGATATATACAACTTTGAACAAAGGGAAATGCCTGAGATGCCCTGAGCTGACTAATCAGTTGAAACTCTTTGGGGCTCGTTAAGCATTTCGAAATGGGTAGGCTAACAGATTCCTCTGAAGTTCTGTGTGTGTGTGTGTGTGTGTGTGTGTGTGTGTGTGTGTGTTCCAAGCAACATCTACCAAAGTGTAGAATCAGATGTTTTCAGTGCTGCTGAGAGAAACAAACAAAATTCCTAATGCATCTGTGAGATAAGCTTCTGCAGCATCACAAGAAGATTAAAGTGGCAGACACTCCTTCCAGCGGAAGTTACTAATTCGGACCTGACTGATGCAGTTCCCATAGCAACCCATGTTTCCTGGGAAACCCGAAAAAGGTTGTCATGGCATCTCATGCTCTGTAGCCCCGCCCCCTAGCCCCTGCCGTTTCCACAGTAACCTTTCCAGATGGTTCCTACTTACAGGATTTCATAAGGAAAACCACTATTTGAATAAACCGCACAAACGAAGTTAAGTCTGAGAATCTGAGGGTGGTGCAATGCATCACAAAATGCGTTATTTTTTTACTGCAGAAAACCATTGATACCATCTCATAATGACTGGATCGAGAAGGAAAATACTGCCTTTGGAATGTTAGAGATACACCACAATAAGGCATGGTTTGAATTAAATGCCAATAATGAGGCAATAATTTAAAAGGGTACTGTTTTCTTCCTCCGAGAAGTTTCAAGCCAACAAATGAAATTTAAAAGCAAATGTAAAAGTGTTCTGTACATACTCATATGAAAGACCCAATCAGTTTACCTGAAATCTTACTGGAAGGGACCTTGAGACTTAAAAAATATATTCCAGATCCCACAACAGCACTTGAAAAGCTAAAACAAAAACAAAAAAAAAAACTTTTTAAAAATATAAAGGATGCACATTTTTTAACTGAGGGAATTGCAGACAATCAATAAAAAAAAAAAAAAAGGGATGGGAAGTGACTAGATCTTGGGGAAATACCTGCAAGCTTCAGCCATACACCAGGGGCTGTCAGAAGATACACAGAATCAGGTGAGCACTGTGTGGGGGTAACTGAGAGCTCTCCCTCTTTGGATGGGGAACTGGGAAATGCTGTTCCTGTTTAGATTGGTGCGACTTCCAAACCCAATAGTTTCATATTAATTACATGCAAGTGCCTTTTAAAGATCAGTTACAACATCTTTAACGTTTGATTTCTGTTTTGTTAACTGTCCTTTGGTTTCTGTTGTTTGTGGCAAAAGGGCGGCAGGGGGGAAGTCATTGCTCTTTAGAATAACCTTCACCCAAACTGAACTGACAATGATTCCATTCCTTCTACTAACCCTCTTAGCTTCTGAACAACCTGTTTCCCCTTAAAAAGGGATAAAAGTCAGAACCCACTGCTGTTAGATTTTTGGCCCAATTTTAACTTTCACAATTAGTAGTATGCAGCCATACAGCTCTTTTCAACAAAAGTGGTTAAGGTTACGATAAGGATAACAAATGTGTATAATGTACTTTAACAAAATCATTTTATTTTACATACATTATATGTGTTATATGTTATACATTGTCCACAATTGTTTTTTTGATATTGATAGGGTATAACTAATTATCCTATCCTAAATTAGAGTAACCCTGAGTCTAAAACTTCTAAAATATTTTCAGGTAATCAGAAGCCTACTTACTTTATGGTTTGTGTATTTAAGACAGTGAAAAAGAGTAATGAAGGAGGAAAAGGAAGGAAAATAATAGAGGCAGGAAAACTATATACCTGTTCATTGCTTTATCTCTATGTGCATGAAAATAGGACTCCTTTATCTAGTTTCCTGTGCTACTTGTTAGAGTTACTTTTACCACTGATCTACCTTTTGATCAAATTCTTGGTATTCTTAATGACCAGACTTTCTTTTTGTGACCCATTTTGGTGGTAATCTGTTAGACCACACTATAGTAATAATGTAAGAATAGTTTTTCTATCTGTTCTTAAAAGATCTTGACATGAAGGAGAACAAAGTGCAGTCACCTTTATTCATGTTTTATTCAGAAGATATAGACACCTTGCTTCCTCCTATGAGTAAATTATGTTTGTACCATAATTTTTAGAATTGTATGGTTATTAAGAGTAACATGAAGAAGACCTTTTTCTTCAATCCAGAGAAATATGGCTTTTTGAGTCATAACTTTGACGTAGTATAATTGTGTTCTGGTCACCAAACTAAAAGCTCCTTTAAGGCTATAGGTTCTGTATTTTGACAAAGTTTTGGATACTAGGGCCTAGCACAAAATGTAACCATTTCTATGTGTTCAGTACATATTTGATCAGTGAATGGGTCTAATCTTACATTAATGTTATTTTCAGGTTTCTAATGCAGTGATTTAAAGCATAAGCTCCGCAGTCAGACTGCCAGGGTTTGAATCCTTACTCTGCTGTGTGACACTGAGCTAATTACTTAACCTCTCTGTGCCTCAGTTTCCTTATTTGTAAACTGAGGATAAGAAATAGTACCTCATAGAACTGTGAATGTTAAATGTTGATACAGGCATAATACTTTGGAAAAAATAACTGCACGGAATGCAGTAGAGATTTTGCCAGGAGATTACATTATTATTGTGATCCTTCCTTATAGGCATTGTATAATTACTACTGAGCTTTGCGAATGATATGACATACGTAAATAATCAGTGTCTTCCTATTTACTTTCGGTGTAACAATAGTAATTACCATTTAATTACCATGTCCTGGACACTCTTAGCCCTGCAAGGTAAGTGGTATTCACCCCACTTTAGGAGGGAAAAAAATAGATGGTATGGTTAAGTGATTTCCCAAAGACTTCCCAGCTAGCAAAAACCTAGCCATGATTTAAAGCCAGGTCCCTCTGGGCCCCAAACCCATGTTCCTTTTATTGGGTGACTTGAAAGAGATTGAGAAAATAAATTTCTTATGCCTTTAGGTTTGACTTCGGTCCATGTTGCTAATTAATGAATTCCTGTAAAGAATACACACCCAGAAACCTATTTTGTGCAGTATATTGAAAATTAACCCCTTCCTAATCATCAGATACTTTTAACCATAGGGATCAATTATAAAGTATTTAAATTGAACAAAGAGACTGACTTTTCTAGTAATAAAAGATGATTTTTTTTTGTATTACTGATTTGTCTGGATTTAATATCATACTCAGAAAGTATAATTAGTCATAGTAGTGATACCTGTCATGGCAATAGATATTTTTCAGCTTTAAGATTAATTTTCTATTTTTGTGTGTTTTAATCTACAGTGGATAGTCTTATGCAAATTGTTATTTTTTCCATCCCCTTATACTTTGCCTAGGTTACTGAAGAACCATGCCAGCAAGTAGTATAAATATTTTGACTCCCTCTTATTAAGAAGGGAGAAATTACTTAGAACAAAAGGATTGAAAGCACAAGGAGATTGCCAGCTCATTGAAATTTGTGACATGATTGCCTTGCCCAATAAGTCCATGCATCTTTAAGAGCATCTGTGCTCAAGGAAACAATAGAATATAATTTTGGCCCACATAAAAGCTGTAGCCCCTTCTCTAAGGTCCTAAATCTTTTAGAAAATGAAAATGGATAGTGACTTAGGCTTATAGCAAAATGCAGATGAGTCTAAGTTCACACATATCAGTCAGCTTTGCCAAACCACAGGCTTCACTGTTGAGCTCAATGCACATCTTGGGTGTTAGAAAGTATACATATGTCTGTGTGCACAAACGATTCATGAGAGGAGCTATGACTGGATGAGGGCACATCCATCAATACCTTGGGAAGAATGTACCTACCCTACAACTGGTGAATCCACAGATGAAATGACAGCATTGCTATTTCTTTCTTTTATGGTGCTTTTAAGCTGATCTTATACCAAATTTTAGCGCCCACCAACTCTAATAACAGGCAGCTACACATAAGAGAAGGCGTTCTATTAGTTCTTTCTGAATTTTGAAAAAAAAAATTCTGGGTCTGAAATTTTAAATGCAGAGTATGAAGAAATTTAAAGTTATGGTTTGCTTACCCGAAACTGGTTATTTACCTCTTCGGCAGAAAATGTACTCAAGCAACTGCTTTATCGATCGTATCTAAATTCATTATATAAACTACCAATCATCTATTCCTTTGAGAACCATAACTATAATTTAATGACTTCTATACATTTATAATGTCTACATTTTCTACAGCAGTCCCAAGTCCTTCCCACCTCTCAGCTGTGAATAGAAGTGATTACCCCTCCCACTAAGAAATGCAAAGAAGTACCCCCCACCCCCAGTCTGAAGACCTATGGAAACACTGTGAGATAGAGGTGAGGAACAAAGAATGGGACAGAGGATATTTAGGGATTGCATTTTAAGGTGGGGCTTTTCTTTCTGGGTTTTTTTTTTTTTTTTCACCTTTTAAATGAAGGAGGATAAGACTATTGCTTTGGTGCTACTGATTTTCTGTATTTATATATATTAGTGTAGTCACTTGTTTTCTATCACTTGCAGGGAGTGCTTGAAAACCTTTAAGGGAGGGCAAATCAGGAAAGGCAGGAAGAAGGGAGGGGAAGCCTTGCAGAGCTCAAACCCTGTGCTATCATGACTCAGCTAACCACCTGCCAGAAGATGGCCATTGATCTACAGTACACGATAATAACATTCTTTATATACTCACATCCACCTTGCAAATTTCATTTAATTGATTCAGAAGGGTTAGGACGTTTTCAAATATTTGTCTTCATCTTCAGTGATGCCCTGAACTCATTTTGTCTTCAGAATTGTAAAGAAAAAACATTTTACAGAGAAATGTTTTTATGGTTTCTTCCCCCCCCCCCTTTTTTTGTACTGGATGTGTTTTTCCTTACATTGCAAATTGTGCACCATAAACTATCCAATACATTAAAGAGGAGACCTGGAAAAGAGGCTCCATCATTTTCTTGGAAGCCATTTTATTATTGTTGCAACCTAAATCATGCCGAGTAGGATCTCTAGCCTGCAAAGTAAATCCTGGGATCATGGTTGCGAGAAAGAGAGCACTTAAAATGCATGAAAAATGGTGTTTCATCATATCTGAAGAACGTTATGAATAAGCACGTGCATGCAGAGCTCTGACTGCAGATACGGGGATCGTGCCCCCAGCATGGAGGTGAAGAGTGGAGAGGAGCTTTTTCTTTTTCAGTGAGTCTCCAACCCCACCCTTCCCCCTTCCATCAGAGCACAGAGGCTCTTGGGAATCTCCTTTGAGACTCCTGCTAACTTTTTAGAATGAAGGTTAGCATTGCACTTCTGTATTACAGGTCAGTCAGCACTGCTATTCAACTGGGTTTTTAGTCAATTTTATTTTATTTTTATTTTATTTTATTTTTTTAATATTTTTATTTATTTCTAGGAGAGAGAGAGAGACAGCGTGAGCAGGGGAGGGTCAGAGAGAGAGGGAGATACAGGCTCTGAAATAAGCTCCAGGCTCTGAGCTGCAGTCAGCACAGAGCCCGATGCGGGGCTTGAACCCACGAACCACGAGATCATGACCTAAGCGAAAGTCGGACGCTTAACCGACTAAGCCACCCAGGCGCCCCTAGTCAATTTTATTTTAAACTCCTGTTCTTTATGGAAATTCTCTCTGAATCCTAAGGTTCTTATTTTTATACATTTAAACATGTTCCTTAAATTAAAACATATGATTTCACTTGGAGGAGAATCCAGTGAGGGTAATTTGTTACACACGCACACACACACACACACACACACACACCTCACCTGTTATTTTCTATCCTAAGATATATTTACTTTCTGTCCAGAGATCTAAACAATATAAAATTGGTGAATTTCCAATATACTGGTTTTCATTCATGTGTACTGCATAGGCATTTACAAAACATTTTTATTTTGTTATAGCCTTGCTTAAAAGGCAGATTGATTGCCCAGCGTTCTCAATGTATTTGTTAATGTAATAGTAGATTCATATAAGTAGTAAATACATTCAGTCTATCACTGAGTTTAATCATTTCACTTCCTAAATACCCTTAAAAAGAATCTACTTTTCTACATCACTGTCGCCACCACTTTAATCCACACTGCTCTCCTCTCCATCCTGGGTAAGTGCCAAGGTCTCTAAACTGGCCTCCTTACATTTCCTGTGGCCAGTCTGACCCATTCTCCACCTGGTGGCCACAAGAATCTTTTTGAGACTCAAATTCGATTACATC